CAAAACAGATTCATGTGATTGTGAGTACCTAATGCAAATTGATAGTAAAACTGATTGTTCATCCAAACTTTGGCCGATATTTTCTACAAATTGCTTATTGCTATGGATAAATACAGCAGTACTGTGGTATACATTAACCAATGCTGAGTACGTGGAAATATGTCTACTCTCAATAATAGTAATAATGCTGTCAGGCAAATATATAGTAAACTGTTAGATAAACTCAAATGATATTTCAAAACATGAGATATTATTGTGTCTGAAAGGAGCCAAGGTATTTACAGAGAAAACTATGTTTCTGAATAAATATTATTCATGGAGGAAGGACAAGGCTGTCACACCTAGATGAGCAGTGCCCCTCCTTGGCATGGAAAACATTGGGAACAATATCCAAATTCCTTAAGTCGGTCTTGCTAATCTGGATTGATTTCTCCAAGCAGGGATTTAGTCATGGAAGGACATGAGGTGTGCAAATCGATGTTGATTGCTTAGCATGAATCCTCTTGGCCAATGAATTACTACCTACAGTGCAAGCATTCCCACATTTAATCTACCATTACATATATAAGTACATACCTAATCTAACTTTAGAGAGTGAGTTTCATAATCTGTGTGAGAATGGAGATGAGAAGGGAGAAGTTTGATGATGAAATTGAGAGTTTCAGTCACAAGAACTTCTACTTGGCAGCTGGAAGTGCTTCCCACATCGATTTGTACATGTGGATCAGTGTTTGAAGGGAGTGGAGGATGCTGGGAACAGTCACACTGCGTTCCGAGAGCGCGCTGGCCTGGGCTGCGTTGGAGTCACGGGGGGAGGCCCATGTGAGCGTCCAGTTCTCACCAGCGCTATGCTCCTTGTTCCCCACCTGCCCAGGTGTTTGGGGAGAGCATTTTCCCTCTCTAACTACAAAAGAATCTCAAAACAAACATCATTTTTACTTCCACAATATATGGAATAAGGTAAACCTGTTCAGTGTAAAAGATTTTTCGATTATATTTGATATAAAACTGTATATTGAATCTGAGCCATGATAACTTCTTAT